GCGAGTTACGAGCCAATTCTGATATGCTTTCAACATTTCGTCTTCCATCCAACGTAAATTATAGTTAACTATAGACCATTCAGTAAGTAATAAAAATAGAAATACAAATTGCGATACATTTGAATGAGAGTAAAATAAAAAACTATATTATGATAAATTGCTTAAAATTCAGTATTTAATGTAGTAGGAATAATTTTAAACTTTGTAAAGAGCAAAATATTTTAATTTAGTTTAGATTATTGGCATAAAAATGAGAGAGCCAGAGAGCTCACACCATTCTAAATTTACAAAATGGGTTATAGTTATCAAAAATGTAAACTTTGAAGTGATATTTACCTTTGATAAATAATTTATACAGTGATATATTTGCCTAAGCCTTGATATAGGCCTATATTTAAGATGCTTTGTCTTGCTGTTGAGACCAGAAATTTTTCCACTAACAAAATAATAATTTTAAAAAATGTTGTTATTGATTTCATATTCTAATATCGTAAATGCATAGTTTTTATAAATGAATTTTTTTATCTAATTATCATTTGAAGATATCAGATGTTCTGTCCTTTTTTAATCACTAATTATTTGTATAGTTACCATTTTATTCCATTTAATTTTGAAATTTATAGGAAGTAATAAAAGTCAGAATGCTTAGTTGTGTTATATTTCATTCTGTTGTATTCCTATATTTCTGACACATGCTTTTATAGTATGTGTGGTAACAGATTTAAATACGTTTGTTTACGATCAATATAACAATGAATTAACAATATTTTCTTTGATAATGCATATATCATTCTACAATAAATATATTTATAACATACATGCTTCATTTGAATGTAAAACAATAAACTATTAGATTAGTTTATCAAAAATATTTCTAAAATAATTTAATGTTTTAACATTTTTTATTATTATTAGTTAAGAAAACATTGGAATGTCTGCTAAATGTAAAATCAAATTTTTTATAAATTCTTTATTCCTTTTGCAAGTTTATATATTCATCTATTATCATCATTATTATTACCTTAATTAAAGTTTTACTAATATACTGGTATGCAGGCGATTGATTTTTGCAGTCAATATTTCAAAACATTTCAACAAAAGATTTTTTAGGACTTATTAGAATATATTCGTCACATATAAAAAAGTTAAAAGTAATATAAAAAATTTTAATATATATTTTTTTAATTTGAAATGAAAATGAATAAATTTATTAATTTCTTATTACAGTTGCATGATATAACTTTATAGCATCTTCGTGTTACTTTCTAAAATGCTGTTAGTAGTAATTATTTATGCTTATCAAAATTTCTAAATTCGTTTTTATGAAAATATTATAGTTCAATGGTAAAGACTATAAGCTGGGAACAAGTAATAGAATTTTATTTTCGGTGTTTGTTAAATTGAAGAGAATAGTTTTGCTTGCAGTGTCTTGTTAGATCTAACTGGACTCCTTAAAAATACAGTAGTTATATTTGCCGTTTATTTTGTCTCTTAACCCGTTCTATTCGTTTTTAAATCGTAGGAAACGCAAAATCGTCCCTAGTGGACAGAAGTATTAGGGGCATCATGTGTCACCATCTATTGGCACGAGGCACCACTCCTAGTCAACATTATATCTGTGTCACTGTTCCTCATAATCTTCTTTTCGTAATCCTCACTGTTCGTATCCTCCCTCTATATGTCCCTAGAGTTTTGTTATCTTTTTTCCCTGCTAATGGGCACTGCGCAGAAAGCTGGGTGTTATCAATTTTTCACTTGTGTAAACCATGACCCCTAGACGGATTAAATGCAGTGCTCGTCTTGTTGCTAGATCCGTTTGTTAGGGTTCGTTGGTGATTTCCATGTTGTTACCTCACTTGTCCATGTGTTTGGACAGAGTTCTGGCTACACCTGTGTATACAAGGGACGTTTGTTGTTACAGGGGGACACTTTTTACTTGTTTCTCAACAATCTTTCAGCTTTCTTAAAGATTTGATAGTGTTCGTTTTTCGATAAATTTCCAGCGGTGACGTCACAGACAAAGGCATTTACCAGGTCACATAGTTGTCATGCCGCTGATTCCCCCAAACTCCTTTTCTCTACGGCTGCATCTCTCTAGCTTTGTTCGTCCCGCATTCATTGTGATGTCTGACTGACTGCTGGTATGCTCGTCGGAATGCTGCACGACACCTGCACCACACACCTGTGTCAAAGGACTGTGTGGGAAAAAATGAAGCAGACTCAAAACGGTCTCCGTAAACATCGACGCGTGATATGGCAATATGGCTTCTAACTTCAATTTCTTCTGGGATTAGATTTGAGTAATCAGCAGCCTTAGCCACCTGCACCGGCTGTTAACAATAGGAAAATGGGGACACCCAAGATGGACCACCGGGCAGGTTAAGGGAACTTGGGGGTCGGAAGTAAGTTTCTGCCTAATTGCTTCTTTTGTCGCACCTCGGATAGGCAACGCCCGCTCTATTCCACATTGTCCAATACAAAATATCAACTTCTCTTTCATGCGAAGTGTATAAAGTCCGTATCAGCATGCAATACTGGGGAGGAGGGGAGTGAGACCCGCCAATTGAGCGCTGATCAGTCGTGAAATTGACTGGTTCGACCTCCCGCCTATCTCATCAACATCCAACAGACCCACTATAGCCTTTCCGTAGAGCACCTAATCCAAGCAATACGTCGGTGTTACAATGTAAGCAGTGCAACTAACAGATTACAGTTTGTCCAAGTTATCGGTCTCCACATGCCGGAGGCCTTCTAACTTATCTAGCACGACCTGTTTGTCCTGACGCTTCCCCCAATCTTGTCAGTTGTCTAACTTATTTGTTTTCTAAATAGTGCTCAATTATCGAGTCAGATCGCTTTACAACTAACACGTGATGAATTAGTAAGACTTGGATTTGTGAAGTCGGATTAGTAGAAGTTAATTGATGCCAATTTGTTAATTTAAGCAGCCACTCCGTATCAGGTACTTGTATCCCTTGGGCTAATGTGTGTGCCAGAAAATGTATTATCGTCAATTTATCAATAAATTGCAGATTTAGGTTATTTTATTGAAATAATAGCCTATAATAGATAGTTTATAATGCAGATAATAAATAATTTATTACCTTTTAGGGAGAAGGAAGAAGATCTGGAAATGAGATTTCAGTTATTAAATTGCGAGTTACGAGCCATGCTAGAGATTGAAGGTGAGTTCTTGCATAAAAGACATTTCTATGCGGGGCAATGTTTTATTTTTGAAAAGATCCGGCTGTCGATGACAGAAGTTCCTCGGGCAACATAATGTTTTTGGTTCCCTGCAAGTTTTGTTTTTACTGCAGTTAAGGTTTCGAACCTTTTCGATAGATTTTGTTTGGATTAGACGTGTGTTCCACTGCCAGAAGCAGCAGTCCGTTAAGCCATCGTTGCCCGGAGAACAACATGTCACCAACAACAGCAGCTGTAATCTGATGGCGAAATGTTCTCACACTCTAATTACGTCTTAATGAAGGTGGATTTGGAACAACACAAACACGTGGCCCGTTGGCAGCGGAAACTTTTTGTAGTCGCAAGTTTTTCGTTTTTGAATATCTTTAATTTAATTAAGACGAATTGCAGGACATACGGATTGGAATCATTTGCACGGAATAGATAGGATCAAACAGAAGGAGAACGAAATAGCAATCATGAACCAGTGGGTGGATTAGACAAGGGACAATGCTTCGCAACACCTCGCACGCAATGCATTACTGGACCAGGCAAATGTAGTCTTTGTTCGATTGGGGGTAGGGGGGATTGATAGAAGGACTGGTTTTCAGGTATTACATCCACACAACCGGACTTAATACCCTTATAATCCGCGTATTAGTAGTCGGCAGTCATCTGATTGATAGGGAAAATGGTATTATTGTCGGTCGCACGAGACAGAGGGGAAGGAGTATTTCTGAAAGATAGTCGGGAGAACTCCTTTAATTTGTCGTTAATATTTGAAGGGACCAAGTCAGAAGTTATTTCCATTATATCCCGACCTCTTGTTCATTGGTTCTCTGTTCGGTGTTTTGAGATCCGTGGGGACTTGTCTGTCGGTAACACAAGACAAGGTAATATGGCTGCTCTATTGATTCTCTTAGTCTCTGTGGAATCGCAGGGAATTTCTCGCTCCATTTGCAGTTCCGCTAAAACGTCCCCCGAGATGTCTTGTCACAACACGATGCGCGATTGTAAGTGGACAGCCGAGTTTTTTCTTCCTTTCCTGCCTCCTCTGTCTAATGTATTGAACTATCTGTTAATCTCATAATGGATTTCGTTTACGTATATTTTGGTATCCATTTCTTTTTTTTTCTTTTCCCTTTAAATTGAACGTTTCCTTTGCAGATTGTAAGAAGACCGAAGCGCAAAAGCATCGCGAGAAATTGTTATTGGAAGAGCTGGTGGAGATCGTCAACAAAAGAGACGAGTTAGTTCAACATTTAGACACTCAGGAGAAGGCGTAAGTATTGCGACCGAACTCGGAACCAGCTTATGTAACACTGATTGATAGAATTTTGTTTATATGTCCGAAGGGAAATCTGGTCTTGTGTTACAAAGTCAACAGTATGGCTTGGGAGGACGACTACCTCCACTCCCTCTCCATCAACCGGTCGCTAATTGTTTGCTTCTGGTTTCAACAGTCGCGCGTTCTTGTCACCACCTTATCCAACCTATTAGGAAGTTGGGAGGGCGCAGTGCGACCTTTCACCTCCGCGCAATTTGTTAAGGAAATGCACTCCGGGATACGCCTAATTGCTTCGGGTCGAAAACGAAAATCCGCTACCACGTTAGAAACCATAGCGATATTTTAATAAATTTCCTGTGATTGAATCTAACCAACAGCTGGACAGTGTCACAACTAATTCCTTACGCTATAGTAACGACCAACGAGGATAATAAGGTGATTGTTAGGAGTTTTCGAACCGGCACGCGTTGTCGTGCACGTGGCCACCGTCCGATTCAATCCTGTTATTCTAATCATGCTTAACAAAGCATGCTGGACAACCGTACAACGTTTCCTATCCTCCTCCCCTTCTACTACCTTGATGCGTAGGTCTTCACTTGACTCATCAGTCTTCGTCTCGAGTAACTCACATACCAGACCTCCTACCTGACACGGTCGCCTCTATGATAGATTGGCACATAACCTCGACCTTTAATTGTCCCTTGTAATAGCTCAGATTTCTCACCTTCCGTTTCGCGAATTGAAAAAAGTTACATGGACTCCCTTTGACCGTAACAAATCAGCAAGCGATCGATAATTATAGCGGGCAAAAAAAGGAGCGACGATTTGGTTAGAGTATTAATTTTATTTTATATTGATGGAGAAAAGTTCGTTCGTTCGTTAAAGACGAGAGTGATGAGACGACGTTAAATGTTTCCGCAGTTATAATTTCGAATGGTTTTCGCTTGGCCCGCGGTGCATTTCTTAGTAAGTCGAGGAAAACGAAGTACAAGGCGCTAGATGATTCGATGAGCGGAACCGCTTCTCCCCGAGCTAACAATTTTCGCTCGCACATCACGTGACACAGTCCCGCTGTAATTATTTGAGGATTACGAATGTGTGTTTCCGTCATATTCCAAGTCCAGCTCATTTTCTGTACGGATTAGACTGTCCCTCCGGACTTCATGCATCAGGCATCTCGTTCGATTCAACCCCCGCCGGCCGACTTAAGCCTATACCATGTCTGTCCTTAATGAACATTACAGTTAGACTGGCTGAGTGCCATCTGCCGTAGTTTGTACGGACAGGAGTTGATTTTGAACTGTTGGTACCGAACGAGCTCGCTATAACCTTATACTTGACAATGGTTTCCTCTGACGACTGTGCAATCTTAATAGCGGAAACAAAATCCCCGTACAAAGTGCTTGTGAAACTTCGCACCTGGGAAAATGGAACTGCACAGTTTCCATTCAGAAGTCCGAGTCCGGCGATTATATACACTTGGACGGTCTGGTTGGCTTCCCTTTTGTCGAGGGGATTATATTGACTTTCTGTTGGTAGTGTCTCTTATCTCGCTTTTCCATTCTACTATTTTCGTATTCATTTCCTTTTGGTCAAAAAAGGGGACGGTCCAAAACAGGTCGTCGTTTTTTGGTTTATTTTTGTGTAAGCCCGTGTCCTTTACGTGATTATTTCGTTTGTGTCTAACCAACTGATGTCTTCCACAGGCTAGAAGACGACGAAATCGTCGAGAATGCTACCAAAGGAGCAATTTTACGACAAGAAAGGAACTGTGCGATCCAGTGACCGCCCCCTTCCCCGTCCATGTTGCTCGTTTGCTGATATCCCGTCCCTTCTACAGAACTTAAAAGCCTACATAACGGAAGCATTCGAATATATATATATATATATATATACATTTAATAAATAAAAAATATATATACACACAAATATATATATATATATAACAGACAAGAATACTTGTACTCTTCTATTCTCTCTATCTCTCATTCTGTGCCGTGCCATTTTTAACGTGTGTTTATACAGTGACGCCTTCTGTCCTTATTTATAGTTTCATTCAACCTCGTTGCCGATTCCCTAGTCAAGGCATTAACAATTTTTTTGAAGCCAAGAAGACTTTCTCTTACCTAATAGATCTGAATTTTCTCCACTACAAATACTAAAACAAGGCATAAACAGCACACGCGAAGGGAATTTGTTTTATTGTTTAATCCCAATCATGTTTTGCTTCATTGATATTGTATCACCAGACGTTGTCATTGCAAATTGTGCTCAAATAAAAAAAAATTTTATACGTTTATTGTGTGTTTCGTTGCTTCTTTTTTTGTATGGAATCAATTACGAGAAATCTGTAAGAGAGAGAAAAATTTGCTTAACTGTTGTTTGATCTCGATTGACAAAATTAATTTTCAGGAATTTTCTCTGAAAGAAAAGTCTGTATTTATATAAGGCAACGCGGTTTTGTGTAACGCGGTTGTTTGTTTCTGTTCGTGATTTAAATATGAGATGACAAGTGACGATAATTGAGGATAACAGAGACCTTTCAACCACGCTGGTAGAGAACTCTGCGGGGAGAAACACGAAAAGTCCATCAGCCCCGAGGCACTATCCACCTCATCTGTAATCTCCATTCGTCTTCGTAAAATAACGCATCTTTTGTTTCTAACAATAATTATAAATCTATACGGCAACGAGAAAAACACTGCAAAACTATTCTTAAAATCGAGGGATGTTCGCGCCTCGTTCTTTTGTGTTAAGTGCTTTGTATGCGCAGTTTGTTTAAAAAGAGAAGGATTACCGAAAATTACTCTCCTCGGATATTATCGATCACAAAAAACATCGCAACTAAAAACTTGTTAAATTTTCCACCAGAACTCTCGGCATTCAGCACAAACTATTGAAAATCCCAGCCTATTGTCTAGTGTGGCTATACAGATATGAAACTTTTACTACCCCGAGGGGTAATGCGAGGTGCCGCGCGTTATTACAACCATATTTATCTTTGACGTAAGGCTTCGGGCGCAGATTAGTGTGCACAATCCACCCGTCTACACAATATTCTACGTTATTTCACGAGAAGCGAACAGGTCTGACCACAACGCCTCCCTTTCAGTCACTCGCGGTCACGTTTTCGAGTCCGGACCCTTTTGTTTTAACCGCAGCTTTACTACAACTGGACATTACCAAAACCACCCACACCCTCTATTCTATTCAATGAACCGTAAATATACATGACAAAGACTAAACACTACGTAGAACAGTGTGATTGTCGCATTTGATGTTGAAAGACACACGCTGGGCCTTTCATGGGAGAAAAGGGAATATTATATCTTACAGGTAATTTCTAAAGCACCTTTTATCATTTTTTAGGGTGAAGTTCTATGTAAATTTTTATTTATTACAAATTTTAATAATGAAAAAAGAAGAGAGGGGAAAAAAAATCCTACAAACCGAGTTCGATAAAGTTAACGTTTTGTAGAGGTTAATGATCTCTCCGTTATAAAATAAATATTTTGAGATAATACCAGCTTAAATCCCGATTAAGAACTTCATTTTTCGCTGCTTGACTAATATTATTTGTTTTGCAGGTGTCAATTTTAATTCGTTTTTGTTTGTTTTAATGTCGCGCTCCAGTTTTATAAAACGTAATAATTCGCGCCTCGTCCTCTTTTACTGCTTTCAACATACTGTACATGCGTAATTTGTCCATTTTAATATATAAACGAAGAAATAGTTTGTTCTGTGTCCTTAACTCTTTGTTTGGATGCGTATATTATAGAACATTATTTTTGCATCGTTCTCTATATGTTATCATTAAAGACGAAAAATATTCCAGGTTATAGAAGTTAATCGCTGTCGGAGTGATTGAGGACAGAATAAATTATCGATGTTACTCATTTATATATTTTTGTGTTGAGAATTAATTACATTAATGAAGTTATCTGGCCTTGTATTTTAATAAACACGTGCCAGTCGAGCATAAATACAGGTTTTACAAGATGACTAATATCCCGATTCTTGCCATTAAAATTGGGTTTTTCGCTAATTGCAAAATGACGCTTCTTGGATTCATTATAGAGAGGCGAAACTGAATTGACTAACGGCTAGTAACCGAACACCGTCAATAGTGATAATGACGTAGGCGCGCTAATACTTGTCTTACTCCACCCACCAATAAGGCCTATAAGCCGCGCGAGAATAAGGTGTAGCGTTACATCGAGGCTACAAGACGAAAATTATAGTCGCCGGGCCGCGTACAAAAAGCTGCTCTGACAATATTTTGAGCGCGCACGTGGAGTCACCGTCCCCTACTATTGTGATTCGACACCTAATTGAATTGATGGCACGTGTTCGCCACTTTTCCACATCAGCAGCTATGAATAATTAATATGGCGGAGGGTTGTCGTCCTGGCTCGGTCACGACGTCTTTGGTGCACTTTTGGCTAGGAACAGTTTGTTTCTTAGTCTCCCATTAGAGATTCCCTGCTCGATCCGATTCCCTCTCTCTCTATATTCTCGTTTAATCTAACGATAGTTGGTTATTATCTATTGACATTTAAAAATTTATTTGACGTCTACCTGACATTTTTCTAGCATAAAAATCACTTTTTGACACGCTGCGAAATCCTTTCGATGTTATTAGCGAGGAAACAGTCTTGTCAAAACAATTGCCGCTACTTACAGTACCAAGATTTAAATCCGCAGCTTCCAAAAACGAATAAATTTTTTTTATGGATCTAATAAAGAAGTGCGAGGACCGTCTTAGACTAAATTAGAAATTCAGTTTTCGCTTTATCAAATAAGTAAGTGATGTCGGTGATGTTTACAATAATGTTTGCAAAGAATGCGAGTAATACGATCTATAGACAAGCATGCAAACAGGATTATCCGCTAATATCATTCTATCTCCATTGTATACTAACAACATTGCATTCTCCATTAAGTTTATCCAGTTTTTAAATAAAACGATTTAGTGGATAGCGATAAAGCATTAAGTAGGTTCGGATATAAGGCTATTTCTCAAGCTGTTTAAAAAATGCGTTTATGAAGATTTCATCCACAAACAATAAAGGAACTGCGAATTTCGCCATCTTGATTGTACGTAAATCGATTAGAATCGTTTTTAATAATAGGAATATTTACTCTTTCTGTTATATTTAGTTATTCCCAATGAGCTTTTACAGTGGAAATGTGTAAATTATTTATTTTGTAATAAAATTAGAGGGTTGAACTGTGATTTAAGCGAGAGCGGCCCCCTATAACAGATGTCCCTTTTGGGGTGGAAGAAAGCTGGATGGGCTGGCGAAAGGGCTATATTCATTCCCCTATTGAAAAACTCTTCATTGTCCGGCATTGACACCCATCTTGTAACAGGGTAGGCTCGATGATGCGATATAACGGTGGTTGAATTATGAACAATGAACTGTAAACAGATGGAAGCTTTTGGCTCGAGACGATCCCCTTAAGGTTTTTCTCATTTATATTGTATTGACGGTTCTATTAACACATAATTAATCATTTTTATTTGCCAGTTTCGATTTCTTATGGAAAATCTAATTGTAATATTAAATATTTACTTATCTTGCCAGAAATAGAAGCGCATTTTGTAAGACGATAACAAAATAATCGATTGTTTTGAAATATTATTTAATTTTGTTTCGCGTATTTGGAAAATTAATCAGTTTAAAGTTAAACTCGGCTACTCGAAAATTGTCGTACTCCCTCGGGTGCATCCTTTAGTCTCGATAGGTATGCGGCATATTAATTAAAAGATAACTTAGTAAAGATATCGGGTGGTTGATGAAGCGTGCTCCATAACCACGAGTGTGCTTAAAACCGAGTGTTCCTCCGCTCGTAACCATCTGTCAGTTTTTTACACGCATTATTTTAATATTTTCTACGGTGGAGAATTACGTCAAAATTTTTAAAACGAGTTTTTTTGCGTCTTATTTTAGCTTTGGACAGACTCAAAATATTGTTTTAAATAAAACAAGGCCGTTTGTTCAGTGTCTGTTTAGAAGATGGATGGAGGAGGACCCGGTGTCACTGACCGATGTTAAAATAGATAGGCCCTGTACCGCTTTCGGTGTGGTCCCCGTTCGCTCTATAAGAAAATAGAAAGAGGAAAAGGGGGAAAAAAAGCTGTTGTTTTTCTAGTGACTTCAGTTCAATGAGAGAAGCTCCTCGTTTCCACCAGCGAGAATCATTTTAGAAAAGTTGATGTCTTATTTGGTCTTCTTTTCAATTATTTTCTCTCTTTGGATTCTTTTTTTTTTCTTCCAACCTATTAAATCAAAATTAGTTTTTGTTTCGTGTTTATTACCGACACCGAATTAAATTATAAAAATCATTATCCCGATTAGCCAAAATCGTTTTTAAAAGTAGTTTATCTCTCGAATTTTCTCATCTCGTTTAAAAAAACAAGCCAATGTTAATAAGACGTTTTTAATCTTATTAATTAATAACAAAAATATTTAAATATTAATTACAGAATGTCAGTTTTAAACGCAAATATTTGATTCGCTTTTTTTATCAAATTTTATAGACCTAATTTATGAAACATACAAATTATTTTACGCCAAAATGAAAGAGGAAGGCAAAAAAAAATGCAATGCATTTTTTAAAGGCAGGTGTAACTGAGTTTTTTTTTTTTTTATTTAAGTAAGAAAAGATAAGAATTAGCTAAATGTATTTTACACGATGGTAATCCTCTAAAACTAAATTTTATTTGAAGAAAAAAAAATAGTAAAAAACAGGTCGAATGCATAAAGCTTTGTAACTTGTTTGGGTCTCACGGAAAAGCCGCATCGGTATGTAGTCGGGGAAGAAGAAAAAATATGAGCAGCTACCGCTTTGTGGGTTCAAAATTTATTCGTAAAAATTAAAGTTTAATACATTTTTTAAATCCTTAGGTCACCCCATCGCAATGCCCATCGATAGTGCCAGTTAAAGAATAGACAGACCGACCGAATAAAAATCTTAAATTACAACACCTCGAAAGAGCGTTGTGCTCCACCCAAAAAAAAACTGAGTGAATGATGTGTTTCTATCTAAATACATTACATTTGCGGACTGAACGACTATAAACTTTCTAGTATTATATACGGTTAAAGCAGGTAGCTTGTCAGAAGAATCAGCAGGACGCGTCTAGTCCTGTGTGGTCCTTAAAAGCCACGCAGAAATGGAGACCAGATGTGCTGGATGCATAGCTCGACTATGAATATAATTCTAATGTAAATGATGGTCGAAATAAAACAGTAAGATTCGGTGTCGACAAGGGGTAGACCGCGATATGGCCAACCACACACTGAGTGTCCACATTCCTATTGTTTTACTCCTGGCTTGACCCCTCACCCATCTGTCCTGGTTCGCGCCATCTGCTTCGTCTGTGGGGATTATTATAGACTTGTTCTTTGTATTTAAGCATATTTATTGATTTAGCTTTTTCTCATTATCTACTGGCAGCAGCTTGGGCCTGTTATTACATTAAATATACTGTCTCTTCGCCACTAATACTTTGCAAATGCATTCGTTTGTCGCTCCTAACCCGCGTAGTCTATGAATCATAAGCATTATAAACATCGCACGATGCGGACCTGTTATCGTCATTAGTAGAAAAACTTAACTCGATACGAACCTGTCAAACGTTGTACAATTAATAGCTTAAGCTCGTTATCCGGTTTATAGCAATAATAGCCCGAGGAAAGATGATAAACTCATTTAAACTAATTTTAAGATAGTGAATATAAAAAGTTTTCCGGGCAAATGGACTTTAGCGCGGAGCGCTTCACATCTATGGGCAATTTTTTTTTTATTTTGCAGTTATGGTTGTAATATTTATCATAATTATATTATATGAATGAAAGTATTAATCAAAAGCGTCATTAGTTATCTATAGATAGAAGAGGAGACAATAGAATTTCCTCGGGATTTCTCGATAGATACGGCTTAATGATTTGCAGTGATGGTTCGATTGCTCCTAATTTGTATCAATCTACCTACTAATAAAAGTGCCGCCTTGTTTTTATACAAATTAGTATAGTTAATTACATTGGTCGCTTAATCTAGCCATAAACGATTCCGACGGAAAAAAGACAAGTTTTTTTTTTATATTGCCGAGTAAAGATATAGAATGGTGGAATGTAAATATGCTCATCTAGGAGCTATCTGAAGCGTGCAGACACCAATGAGAGCGTATTCGAGTCAGCGACGTGTAGGACCTAGTTGTGGCTGCCAGAGATACTGTTTATGAAGCAGATAGGTAAAGTTTATTGTACACACAGACACCAACAGTATCTCACCACTCGGTTGGTGGTAGCGTGTTGTCAAATATATAGATAGTCCGGGACGGCGAAGAGGCGAAACATGGCCTGGCATTTGCCAACGATCGAACAATAAATTTGTCTGCCCATATCTAGTTACTGCTTATTCCTATGTTGTATGTCATTCGAAAACGATTTTTTATTTAATTATCGACTTTTCAAAATTATGAAGTTTCTCCGCAGGGGCGCTAGAACCAGTTTAGGCGCTGGCGTCTGTATAGAAATATTTGACAAAAGTAGAAGATCCAGTTCGTTAATGTTTGAGTGTAAAGAAAAAATTAATTGACGGTATTTTTAGTGCGTTAAGATTAAAATGTAGTCGCAAGAAGAAAAAAAATGAAAGAATAAACAAAGCTTATGTGGTAATCGCCATATAATGTTTCTATACCGCTATTTAGGCCCACACTAATGCCTACCAATTTAGTAGAGGTGTGCCGCGGAAAAAATTGCATTCTCTGTATGTATTTTGTCTTTATTTTCTCTAGAGATTACAGGCCTAAGGATTTAAAAAAAAAAGCCGAAGGTAATAAGGCCTGCATAGAATGAAGGAAAGGATTATTTTACACGGCAACCAGGAAGATGTCAGAAATGAGGAAGAAAAATAATTAACCCACATCGAGATAATAGAGAATACGTTTTTGTATTTTTCCGGTGGTTATTCGTGAAATATAGAAAATATTTCGAAAAAGTAGTCAAAGATCCCTGTAGACGCCTAAGAAGATTCGATAAAAAAATAAAGTCTCTGGAAAAAAAGTCAGTATAGTAATCATTTACTGTGTAAAAACATGGCCAGCTATCGATAAATTTTAAACAGAAAAAAACGCCTGCTTAACAAGATAAAGAAAAAATTCTTACATTTTTCCGAAAGAAAAGAAATCTTCTAAACAATACAATTTGCCGCGTATCTTGCAACCAATTTGCAGTTTTTCTTCTTTAATTTTTATTTTGAAAAAGTATAAAATACTCCCTCCGATCTGCCATTACCTCTGAGAATATTAAGTAAAAATTAAAGGAATCGACTCCCAGAAGGCCAAAGATTTTTTTTTCCTCTATTCTTTTTGCCACGAATTTCTTAACGATCCAAATTTAGAAACAAATTATCGATTCATATAAACGGACAGATGCACAGACGAACGAAACTTTGGCGTTTCCGGTCTTGTAAAAATTGATATGGCCGCGATAGTCAAAATAAAGCGATTAAAGTGGTTGGAGTCTCTACATGGTCAAACATTTTTAACGATATTTCTGTGGATCCCGTAGATAATCCTTTGCAAGACTGTTGTTTGCCAAGATATGACTGGGTCGCGTTTTGATGCAGCAAATCGCTTGATTAACAGTAATGCGCTTAAAGGACTGAAAGAACATTAAAAGATTTCGACTTTATGGCATCGACTGGCTCTGTTTAGACATGTCATCGCTTCCAGACACGACGGAAGGACTTTGCCGCTTCCACCGAAATGTACAGGTGAGATAGTCAGGTGGCTTCATTAACTTAGTTTTGTTGTCGTTTATGGGTACGACCCTTTGATAAATGACTTTAACCCTAACAAGGCCTGCGGTTTTACAATTCCAGTAGCAGCGACAACACTTTACGACATCACCAGGGGTGGAGTGGTTTGTTCCTTCTTACAGTAAGTCGTAAACGTCTCGTCTTGTTTTCGCGGCTCTCTTGTCGTAATGAACACCAAGGTTGGAAATCTCACACAAACTCGACCAGTTGATTTATTGATTCTAATCAGATACCATCCTAAGATACGAGGAAGGCAGTTCTTTCCTTTCTTTCTTTCTTTTACGTTTCCACCCACCTGACCACAACTACGCCATCACGTTGAAGATCGTTATCGCGGAATGGCGGAGATTTAGCCGTTGGCTACTCACAAATCATCTTCTTCATCTACTAAATCATCGTCCATTCTGGCAGCTTCCTTTGCCGAGGAGCATCGTATTTTCTTTTAATGTAATTCCGACAATTTGTACATCCTTAGAGAAAGTGTTTTTTGAAGCTATTACTCCGTTGATGGACTAATCACTAATCCTCGTTCTTTGGCCGGTTTTAAATATTTTAGACCACGGCCCGTGCCCTGCTCGTACGAAAATCCGGGATCTCAATTTGTAATTTTGGTACACGCTGCTGCCAGGACGTACTCGTTATTTATACCCTTAAATTATCGTATAAATTCTTTAAACGTCTGACTCCGCCATAACTTATGGACCGTTGGGATCTATTTATTCTTTTAATGGTGCAAAACAGACCTAAATCGAATTGAGAAAGTTTGTGGACTCGATTATTTTGACCCTCTTTCAATACAGAGGATTTTGGTGTAAGGAATTGTTGGAGAACTTTTAATAAGGTTTTTTTTTATAAAGTAATATATTATGAAATTTTTATAAATAATCAAAAGAAAGGATTAGAAGATAATTTAATTCGAAAGGAAAAAATTGAAGTTTGGTGTGCCAGCATGTGCGAGAACTGCTGACAAATGCGATTCTAACGATTACCGTTGGACACTAGTGAGGTACTTGAGGGGGTTCCGGCAACCATGTAGGGTTTCCCGATGGGACACCGCATACACTCGTAACAAGAGCCGATGTAACTCTATACTCGGCCAGTTCAACTTTCAATGTTACTGTTTAGACCGTCAATGGCAGAAAAAAAGGAAGAAAAAAATAAGAAAGTAAAGGTGAAGAAAGAAAGTGAAGAAATCGAATGCTGTCACGCAACAAGATATGCTCTAGGATATACTTTATGGAAAGTTATTTTTAAGGCAATTCGCTTTCTTTGTCAAAGCACCTCCCTATCTATAATGGTTTAGAGTCAGATAGTGGTTGAATTATACCATTCTTATCAGCCAGAATCGGATTAACATTTTGAAACAACACCAATTTTCTGGCTTACTACCAAAGGCCCAATAGACTAACAATAAAGTATGTTTGCGCAACAAGAAAGAATACGAAACTGTAATGCCGGATTATCCGTGCCTCGGGCGCTTTCTTTTGTTTTTTTTTTTCTATCCGCAATCGCGTAAATCGCGAATACGCGCGGATAAACTAAACCTGGCTACGCTAAAACATTATCCGTGTCAATCACGTGACGACAAAAGTTAGGTTTTTCGTCGAAAGATTTCTTTGCGAGTTAATTAAGTCTAATTGTCGCTTGCCGGATCAACGTTGCAGAATAAATACCAAAGAATCTGCTGACTAAATTAAGAATAAAGAACATATTCTGTATGTCACCGTTCTGCAGTGTTAGTGACGTCCCTTTGGGCTATACAGAGATCCGAAAGTCTGATAGAGGGGCCACTGTCAGTCTCTCCATGTCGGTATCTGTAATGTATGACATACCGCAGTCAAAAGACACGGATGAATAATTAATTGGCCATCCAACTAACATTCTAGTGGTTGACGCGCTCGACCTTCTCTGAACTCTGGTGATCTCGTGTCCGTTTCAGTCTCCGTCGATGCCTGTGGCCTCTTTTCTTCTCCTACTTCTTTTTTCTCGTCTTCCGCTCGACAATCTGGAATATATAAGTAATGAGAACAATTAAATATTCGTACCGCATAACGATAAAAATGGAAGGAACCTTATCTCCAACGAAAACCTCCCCTAAATAAAGGACCTCGTTGACTTCTATAATCGGTCGAAAGCTGTCCACTGCACTTTTCCGAGCTTGTGTCGTCGATGGCCGAGTCACCCTGGTTCCGACGACAATGCGCCAGGCACTCAAAACTCGCCCAATCTGCCTTATTTTCTACCACGGTCCAGCTTATGTGCTTCCTTAAAAGCATTGTTTACTCGCTTGGCTCGGCATTACATGTCAATCACGGCATACCCGTCTGCTGTCAGAAGATATTTTGTCAGTCCGGTGTGGATACAGATGTCATAGACAACGTATCTATGTCTGAACTGTGATGCTAGAGGATTAGCATAAGCTACAATATAAATTACCTACTGGGTATGTTTATTCTGTTTCCTTGCAGTGGAAGCAGAGTTTGGTAGTGCCTGCGGGCAGTTCAGTAGCTCTTTAAGTCGCAGTCTCGGTATCGAAGCTTTGTGGTAAACTCCAACTTCGCGCCGGACCCTATTCACGAGTTTCAAAGAGGTTAGATTTCTTGGACCAAAATGTAAACACTGGTAGCCATTTTCATGGTAATTTCTAAGGGTAGGTAATAGTGCGTGGACAATGGTGCGGTTGTATAAAAGAGGGAATAGGAAACGGGAGAGAAGTGCCCGATTACAGGGCGGCGACAGGAGACATCTGGTCAATCATTGGAGAATATGTTGTCATTTTTCTTGTCACTTTTCATCACTCTTACCATATAAAATTTGCCTACTTTTCCATTGACAACGCGTTTTTTTTATTGTGATGATATACGAACTAACTTAGTGCCGTATGGCTTGTAATATAGACCAAGGGTGGTAAATTTCTTGAGTACGTGTCAGAATCACATACATGTCCAGAATTTAGAGGCCTAAAACTTCATTAGAATAAACTATTGAAAGGAATAATAAAGTATATGTCTGATAAAGTAAAAAATGAAGTGAATACAAGTTCTATTGCAAGAATATAATCGAACCTAAAGTAAAATGAATATAAGTTGAAATCAAATTACGTAATTTTTCTCTCTTCATACTTTTAGAATTTCTCGTTATCGAAGTGTTACGATATCAGGATGCTGCAATTATTAATTATTGCGAATATTTACATTAATGGATATTGCGTGCGGTGCAAATTCTTTCCGTGTTATAGGTCACTTTGGGCACGCGTGCCACAGGTCGACCACCATTAGCGATTATTGTTTGCAGCGGTTAGAAAACAGAGAAGCGGATAATATAACGTATAAAAAATTGGATTTGGAAAGGTTCGTTATCCTGGATATTTGGCGTAATAGTTTTATCGTAGGAGATCTAATATAGAATAATTTAGGTATTTCGAATGCAGAAATTTATATGTAATATATGAGACTGATATTGGATGTGATGGGGAAGAGAAATCCATTAAGTTTATTTCGGAATTACAAAGATAGCAATTTCTAAACACGACGTCAAACTATTAATCAAGTAAACGAGGAAAACACGGTATGTAGCAGCAGCGTAGCAATGGCGTTTCCATAGTCAGACCACCCCAAATCGATAGAGGGTGTGTTGCTATGCCGTGATTGGACGCAAGGTGAGATAAGTTGGCAGTGATACATAATTATGTATACAACGCTAGCTGATGGATTCACAGACACACACGTGTATATCAATCAAACACATATTAACCTACAAAGTTAAGTCATAAACCAAACAACGTTTGTCTAACTATATCGACCGTGAACGAGACGAGTGGTGAGTTATTGTAATTCTTTTCTATCCAAACACATGGTTAGCTTTAACTACTTGGCCTCTAGTCGAAACTGGAAGTAAGTTAAGCCTCTTATAAACCACACGATAGTTAACCGTGACAATACACGATATATCTCGAAAGACGACGAAACAAACAGCGGTTAGTAAGTACGTCACGACCTACTCACTCACTAAATAACTTTAAAACTCTCGTTAAACTAGTAATACTTCTTAACTAGTCGAGCGGTTGTATTATCATTAAGGCACAGTAAAATTTTATAACTTAGGTAGCGGGGATTAATGCGTTAACAGTTAGGAGTTTTTACGATGTGTCAGAAATGCTTAAAAATCGGCGCGTTTGTTTTCCGGCCCGGCTAACCGACTCCATTAACGTACCAAAATGACCGAGAACATTGCTGACTTTATTTGTGTAATAGATGCACCGGCAGCTCTCCTAGAAATTAACTGTTGACACTGTGGGTAGCACAATAATACATAAAATTTTAATCCGCCATGACGCACGGCCAGCAGTTTTTGCCCATCTACCCGCTGCAGATTTATGGTTTTAAAACGTCAAATATGCCGAGAAAAATCATTTTCCCAGCGTTAAATTACGGCCAAAACAAATCGAGAGTGCAGAACGGCCTTTACGTGCCACTAAATTTATATACGTATATTCTAGTAGCGGAGGTGGAAGGAGGAAAAAATGATAACCAGAGAGAGTGTGCTCGTTACAACGGGGTTCAGACACCTGACAAGTTTAGGGGACACCTGGGGTGGCGGCCCCCTTCCCCTTACCACCTCGCTCGACGACATTGCTGGGCTTTAAGGGGGACGAGGCCGATCACGTTCCCTAAACATCCTCACTCTACAGTCCCACTTGTTTGCTGAAGTGGTAAATGTCCTCGCCGTTGACCCGATGGAAAGAAGGCAATGCGCCTTCCCCTCGTCTCTACAAAGCTTCTTCCCCTGGCAAATTCCAGATTGTCAGGAACTGATAGCGTCATCTACTTCTATGCCCCGCTCGCATTATCTGATGTTCGGATTCTTGATGAGCCAGTCGGTAGATCACTCGGCAGATCACTTCTGCGCCTCGCTCTCCTCGTCCTTTCCTAATTCCATATACTTCATCTCATTAATTTACTAGAAAGCTCCCGGAGAAGGGAGACCGTCCTCACCCTTATCACTCTACTCTTATAACTACCGTTTGCTATTTTATTAACTCGTTTTTCAGCACAGAAAAAAAAATCCTTTAATTATCCACTTAATTTTTCAAGCGTTAAACGATTCTACTTATGAAAATTTTCATTTTAATTTTAAACCATCATGCTCTGTCACCGTCTCTATTTCTTTTACCGGCTATTTCTGTGGATACGAATTAGGTTGGCATTCCGTTCGGATTGTAGACAATAGATTTGTTAGAATTCTCGGCATCCAATTTATCCAGTTTAGATTAACAAATAAGCTAGAGCTGCGAATCCAATATTTCAAGATAATTCTGCTTATAAACACGGTAAATAATACTCCTGTAATTGAGAATTCTTTGAAATTAAATATAGAATTAGTCTAAAATTCTAATTTAATCTTGTCTGAACCCAGTCGTCTTCCACTATTCGCTTCGTGTAATTTTTTTCCTGCACTTACTGAAATTTATAATGATAAACTTTAGAACTGTCATCTACAGATGATTGTACGAAGTTAGTTTGCAATTTTTAATATGGAAGTCTTCTTATTATATCGCGCTTCTAAGCAAAAAAAAAAAAGGAGATAAAGCTAACAACTTTTGGAGTGATGAATTCCGCAGATCGTTGGCAATTAGGCCATTTTTTTCTTTATAATGACAATAAGGCAGGTGATATTAGTATCCATCTGTACGCGCATGATGTGAAGTATCATCCTGGACCGGTATAATGTCCGTTGTTTTGTACAGTAGAGCAAAGTGCATTTTCGAATAAGACGAAACACAAAAGAAGGCGTTCATTTTTGAAACATATCCCAAACCTGGAGGAGGAGGCATGTCTATATACTTGTATATTGGGCGTGTATTACTTACGGTCGAACAGATTTCACCCCACGATTCGAGTAAGTGACTCAATTCAGCCGATATGAAAAGCAATTTGACGCTTCACTTAAGTTATATATCTACTCGGTATATAAAGGTCTACCACTCGACTACTATCGAAAAATACCGACCGTAAAATAAGAGTTGTCAGACCTAACTTGACAACAATAATACTTTGTAGGGTATGACTGATGGTACTATGCTCCGACATGGTATCACTATGCCAAATAGTAATGTAGCATTATGAAGCGGCATTGTGAAGCTCTTTTTGACTTCTTTTCCTTTCTACCTCCACTTACAAAATTATGTTTTAAAAGCCGACAGGCTACAGACCTATAAACTTACAAGCTAAACGTTTTTTATCGATTTTACTCCGGTAATTAGTACTCGAGGGTGCTCTCCGTGTATTCAAATTACGTATAATTCTACGTTTTCTATTGTTTTACGAGAATAGAGACGACTCCTGCAAAAGCCGAATTGATAAATTAATCTTAATTGAACGCTGCTATTAGGAATTAGTAAAATCGAACAGTTCGGTTATTAAGGTTTAAGTACTAACCGACAGGACGTGATATATGTTTACTAATGAAAATTTCCAGTTAGTTCCTCTCCAATTAATTAAAATAAAATTTTATTTACGAGAATTTTGTCATCAATTTCTCCTCCCGTTTATTACAATTATCGCCAGTTTTGTAAACAATTGTAAACAGGATTACGTAGCCTATAATAATTTAATTCTTAACAAATGTCGATTTTTGTTTATTATTGTTTTTTCCTTTCGACGTCACACAACAGCAGGCTTTCCGCTGGTGTTTAAGCGACTCCAAGATGGAGTCGGGACGGATACAATCACCGAAATGATCTCTGGAGTTATTAAGCAGTTCATTTACTCTTTGATTAAAAAGATGCAGGAACTCATCAAAATTATCCAGATAATCCCAAATCATCTTTTCAGTTTCAATCAAGACATTCGTAAATCTTCCAGATTAAAAGTGGGGTAACAGCGAAATATATTAATTTGAAAAAGTTTTAAAAAGAAAACCAATTAAAAATTTCATTCGGAATCGATTTTTTTCAACAGTTATTAATTTAGAATGAAAACGATAGGAGCCGAAGGACGATTGCGGAGGACGGAAGCTGCAAATGCGGCGCATAAACAGACAGGACCGCCTTTAATTTTGATACATTCGTTTCTCGAATCAGTATCTGGGAAAAAGACAATCTGCTTCATTTACAAGTGAGTAGTCAGATCGATTTTCTAATGTCAACAATGTCGGATCCTAGTGTTTACTGTGGGATGATGTTGTTTGCCAGACTTTCGCTCGGTGTCAGTCGTGCTTGCTTTAAATTAGCTAATGTCAGGTTGTGCTCGCTCTACTCCGCTCCCAACTGACTTTTTGGCATAATTGTCCCAACGTTTTCCAATCCCCCAAAAATACATCCGAAACGACAATCGTTAGCGTCTATCTAAATTGTTTATGTTTCGCTTTTTCCACTTACTAATTTACATGGTGTAAAGCTGCAAATTAGGCCCTATAATTTGTTATTAAACGTCATTATGGCATGGAAAAGCGAAAGCTGCTTAAAGTGCGTGTTAAATGTTTGTAACAATAAAAATTGAATGGAAAGACTACAGTTTGCGAGGTGGAAGGAAAAATTTTTCTATTAAATCTTTAAATTGATTCGAGAAAGTTTTAAAATCGGAGCCTGGTATTCCGAAAGTGATATCTGTATAGACTATCTGAAAGGAAAAACTACCCTAAAATCAGTTTGGGCAGTTGTAAGCTAGAAGATAGCCAGTCTCACATATATTTTCCCTTCCCCCAGCTGCGAACCGGGGGAAGAGAAGTAGGCTGGACTGCCGAGATAAAGGACAGCGTATTATGCCAGCGTGCGAGCTCCGTTGATAACCAAACAGAGAGCCGTCTGCACCGTGATATGTTAGCCAGCACTACTCTGGCAGTAACAATATCCTATAGCCTACTTCTAATTGATGATACCGTGCAGTCGGAAGGGGAAGAGAAGAACACCATTCG